CCCTTTTTTTTTTTTTCTCCCTACTCTGGATTCGAACTCTCGTTTTGTTTTTCAAAGGGGCTGGAACTGTAGTGGATTATTGGGAAAAAATTTTGGCCGCTCGAGGTTGATTATTGATTAGATACGTGATGCGTATAATCATTAGATACACAAAGTTGGTATAGGTATATGCGTGCGAAACGATATTTTAAATGTTGATGCATTTTTACTGTGTACTGGACATTAATTGCAAATGTTAAATTTACGTACCGATGTGATTATCGTTTCGTAGTCAGTTATACAAATTGGTAAAATGATTTCCCATACTTGGAAAGATTCGTCCAAATTTACCTAATTAATGCATTTACCTAATACAGAAAATTTGGGTAAGTGCATGTATACGCAATGTTATAGGTATATTTTTTTTTTAATTTTAGCGGTCGTTATCCAACAATGGTAAGGTAGTTATCTACAACTAAATGTTATAGCATGCAGAAGTACATGCTAATACCGACCGGTGTGCCGATACACGAATCGATAAGTGATAACGTTACCAGTTGATATCGGTACGGTAGGTGTCGTCATTGACATTATCTGATTGTCTACTTTTTAGTTCAAAATTCGAAACGCGAGATGGCGCTGAGCTTTTAAAAAACTGAGCACCCTACGGATTAATTTTAATTTTTTTTTTATATATATATATAATATGCACTACTCCGCGCGGACTCTTTTCCTTTTTTGTTTTTCTTTTCGCGCTCGGTGCTTACACTTGTGCAATCTCCTTGAAACAACAACGAGAGAGACTCTATACTTTTGTTTTTTCTTTCTTTGGCCCTCCCTCGAATTATCCACACCTAACGGCAACCGCGACTCCTTCTCGTATAATATACAACACAACACAACACGTACCCATACATAATCATGCATAGCATCACACGTGTATACTTTGGGGCTACTTTGAAATTCTCATTATTTTTTCGCCTTACTTTACTGCCTCCTCCTTTCGCGCGTCCGGTCACATATTCCTCCTCCGCCACCCCCTTTTACCTTTACGATTCTCATTCACTCGTCCCTCCCTTCCTTCTTTCCTTCTCTCTGCATGCATTCATTCACCTCTTCTTAACTTTGCTTTGCTTTTTACTTTTTACAGGTACAATGATATACTCTCTTGGGCTTTGCTGCAGTACTTCTAGTTGAGATTTCGCAAGAGCCATTGAAGTGTAAAAAAAAACCACCGCTAACTCAAAGTATATACCTAAATATACGATTTGTTTATCATCCGAAAACTATACAAAGTATCCAGTAAAATGACGAGATACACCTTCGTACCCGCAATTATACAACAGCACACCCTTTTCGTATGTCATATTATGTACGTGTATGCATGTACATCCATCCTTTGAGGGTACACGGCTGTTGTGCTCTTAAAATATAGGTAGGTATCCGTATCAGCTACGTGGGAGGGCGAATGGAAGTCGCAAGGACGAGGAAGAAGACACGCCGACACATCATGTCCTACGTATACGTATATAACCCGAGAGTTGCACCGAGGGGAGGTCATGTGTAAGTATACATGTATACGTTATGGGTGCACTTTAGGTGTAAGTACGTCTAAGAAGCAAACCGATACACACATATATATACATATTATATAGCTTTAAACTTCCGTCTTTTGGGTACAAGGGTATATCCTGTATACATGAGCCACCCGGAAGCTTTACCGTGTATAACCCATACGGTATAATACATATATATATGTATATATAAGTAGACTCGAATGGACTGTTAAACAATTTATTTGTATATTCTTTTTCACGGGTGTGATCATATTTAATTGTTGTGACCGACCATCGCGCGAAATCTCATCCAAACTTGTTTTTACACTTCCAACAAAGATACAATTTTCACGCGTGATAACGGCACGCAAATTTTTGTTTTGTTTTGTTATTTTGTTGTTGGTTTTTCGCTTGTCATCGCAAACAAGTGCGTCCCGCGCTAGGGTTTGAAAAAAAATAAAAAAATAAAAAAATAAATAAACAGAACATCAGAGAACACGGAGTTTGGGAAAATAGCAAAAGTCATGTAGCTAAATATAATATATATATATACCATCGTGTATAAACAAAAGGCGCGCAGTACCTCTTTGTACTTGCGCACAGCGTGAGAAAAAAAAAATCTGTCTCTCTGCACCCGTTTGGTCAAAGCACTTGACCCTCTGTCGCAACAACACGCATCCATGCCATCCTCCGATTAGGCGTCAAAATAACATACCAGATAGCGGCCAGAGGTGCAGACGTGGGGGGGGAGGGGAGGGGGTGAAAAAAAGGGAAACGAGCAACAACAGCCCGAGGATTCTCGGGTCAGCAGGTATGTATGCTACAAATATTTCGGAAAAACGCAAGATATAGGTACCTATTCCGCGTTCAACCTGCTGTTGTTGCATGGCTTTCCCACGGCGGGCATCGTTTATTACTCGGGCCGGTGATGCACCCAATATATACATATACGAGACCAACTTTTCAGGGGGAGTGAAAAAAAAAAAAAAAAAAACGAGAACCTGTCGGGCTCTCTTTTTTTTTTTTTCGGGCCTTTAAAAACCGCACAAGTAGATAGTGGAGTAGAGCAGGGCAGCTTTGGTATAGGTGTGTGCGTGTGGATGCACACCCACGCTCGGTCCAGTGGTCCCAACTTTCACGGGCACAGGGAGCTGCATGTGTATGGGGTTGGTTGGCTCGAAGGTAATTAAGGACGCGCTGTCGGGGGTGTCGCAAGCGGGCAAGGACGAACCATCAGTGCGGAGGAAGGAAGGGGAGGAGAGGCTTTTGGCTCGTAGTGGGGGTCCAACCGAGTTATATTGTTCGAGGTGTTATCGATACCCGTGAGATTGGGTGGCAAGTTAAGTTCACACTTTCCGAGGTGTCTACATATACATACCTACACGGGGCCCAAACAAGCTGCTGTTGGGGTGTTGAAATTTTTGCATGATCTTCCTCTCTCTCTCTGGTGGGGGTGTACGAGAATGTCCTATTCTTTCCCATCTTGGCCACGTAAGCGCTCAGGAATGCCGTGTGATACAGGGTGGTTGGTTGGTCGGTAGGTGGGGCGCGCGGGGCTATTATACGTTTTTGTATTAGCTGCGCGTATACATACATACATGGAGAAATTTTTTCGTAGAAGTCGGTGTCATCGCTGCTATTTGCTTACTTGATAGCCACTCTTTTATTCACCTTTTTTTTTTTTTTCTCCCTACTCTGGATTCGAACTCTCGTTTTGTTTTTCAAAGGGGCTGGAACTGTAGTGGATTATTGGGAAAAAATTTTGGCCGCTCGAGGTTGATTATTGATTAGATACGTGATGCGTATAATCATTAGATACACAAAGTTGGTATAGGTATATGCGTGCGAAACGATATTTTAAATGTTGATGCATTTTTACTGTGTACTGGACATTAATTGCAAATGTTAAATTTACGTACCGATGTGATTATCGTTTCGTAGTCAGTTATACAAATTGGTAAAATGATTTCCCATACTTGGAAAGATTCGTCCAAATTTACCTAATTAATGCATTTACCTAATACAGAAAATTTGGGTAAGTGCATGTATACGCAATGTTATAGGTATATTTTTTTTTTAATTTTAGCGGTCGTTATCCAACAATGGTAAGGTAGTTATCTACAACTAAATGTTATAGCATGCAGAAGTACATGCTAATACCGACCGGTGTGCCGATACACGAATCGATAAGTGATAACGTTACCAGTTGATATCGGTACGGTAGGTGTCGTCATTGACATTATCTGATTGTCTACTTTTTAGTTCAAAATTCGAAACGCGAGATGGCGCTGAGCTTTTAAAAAACTGAGCACCCTACGGATTAATTTTAATTTTTTTTTTGTTTTGAGTAAGTAAAGGTTAGTCTGTCCCCTTGGAGCAGTTGGAGCTTTTCGAGATGTTGTTGCTGCATATTTTTCGCTCGTGTTAGTCGTGTTAAATGGTCAAAAAACAAAACGCACGTTTGTAAATGCGTGCAGAAAATCCGAAACCCAAAATTCCTCAGGTAGGCTAAACGTGTGACCTCGTCTTTTCGACCAGAGTCGTCACAAAATGGGCGACCTGTTCGACATCGCGAATCTCATCACGGCTGTGGGGGTGGACGCGGTGAAAATAAAACCGGAGCCTGGACTGCCGGAAAAATCATCTAACGAGATTCTCACAGAGTTGTTTAGTACATTTGAAGTTCCTGACGACGACGACGACGACGACGACGACAACAACAACAACGACAACAACGACGACGACAACGAGGATGAGGATCAGGATGATGCCGAGGCGTCGAGCAGCAGCGATCAAGCCAAGAAGGAGAAGAAAGAGGGCAAGGATGAGGAGCCTGCGAAAGTAAAAGTCAAGGTTGAGAAGGAGAACGATGAAAAGTCGGAAAGTAAAAAGAAGAAGAAAAAGAAACACAAGCACAAGAGCGAGAGCAAGGATGCTGAGAAGAAGCACAAGCATAAGAAAAAGTCGAGGCACAATTCGCCCGAAGGTGCTAGTGATTCTGAAAATTCAGGTTTGTGCACTGATGCTACAGATGAAAATTTTTTAAATTGTTAAACATCTAATTTATGATCTACCTGATTCAGGTTCCAAAAAGAAAAAAAAGAAAAAGAAATCCAAACGCAGACACGATTCTGAATCTAGACCCACTGACTTGGATGAACCTAGTGCAAAGGTCAAAAAATTGGATGATGATGCAAAAGATAAATTACAAAGTAATGCCGATAAAAAAGGTACGTAATCTTTATACAGAGTATTTGACTGATGTTAAAGTTGTTGTCAATCTGAGTGTTCAATTTTTTTTGTTTTTCTTAGAAAAATCAAAACTTGAAAATTCGGAAAAAATAAAAATCAAAAAAGAAAAAGTGGATTCTCACGATAAACCAAAAGATCCTGACAAAAAAGAAAATACTCCTGATCTTCCACCAATTTCCAAAATATTGAATGATGATGTAGAAGCCCCAGAAGTACCAAAGTTACTTGGTTTGTACACCTTATCTATTTTGGTCTTTTTTTTTTTTTAGTTTTTAAATTTACGTTTGCACTGACATTGTTTTACAGAAAAATCCAAAAATCCTCCAGCCTGCAAAATCTTGATAAAAGATCTTAAAAACAGCGAGGTGTATAATAACACAGTTAAAGAAGTTGAAAATAAAAAGAAAGAAAAAGAAGAGCGCATGGAGGATGGCGAAATATCAGACAGCGATGAAGACGAAGCGCGAGCGGTGATGCACCCAATATATACATATACGAGACCAACTTTTCGGGGGGTGAAAAAAAAAAAAAAAAAACGAGAACCTGTCGGGCTCTCTTTTTTTTTTTTTTCGGGCCTTTAAAAACCGCACAAGTAGATAGTGGAGTAGAGCAGGGCAGCTTTGGTATAGGTGTGTGCGTGTGGATGCACACCCACGCTCGGTCCAGTGGTCCCAACTTTCACGGGCACAGGGAGCTGCATGTGTATGGGGTTGGTTGGCTCGAAGGTAATTAAGGACGCGCTGTCGGGGGTGTCGCAAGCGGGCAAGGACGAACCATCAGTGCGGAGGAAGGAAGGGGAGGAGAGGCTTTTGGCTCGTAGTGGGGGTCCAACCGAGTTATATTGTTCGAGGTGTTATCGATACCCGTGAGATTGGGTGGCAAGTTAAGTTCACACTTTCCGAGGTGTCTACATATACATACCTACACGGGGCCCAAACAAGCTGCTGTTGGGGTGTTGAAATTTTTGCATGATCTTCCTCTCTCTCTCTGGTGGGGGTGTACGAGAATGTCCTATTCTTTCCCATCTTGGCCACGTAAGCGCTCAGGAATGCCGTGTGATACAGGGTGGTTGGTTGGTCGGTAGGTGGGGCGCGCGGGGCTATTATACGTTTTTGTATTAGCTGCGCGTATACATACATACATGGAGAAATTTTTTCGTAGAAGTCGGTGTCATCGCTGCTATTTGCTTACTTGATAGCCACTCTTTTATNTATAAAAAAAATATATATATATATATATATATATATTGATATACAAGCATGTTAACGTAACTTGTTTTAATTGTCTATTTTAGACTTTTGTAAAAATTTATCACGATCTGAAGCAATGGGTGAATTATCTAGTATATCCTCAGGAGATGAGAGTGATACAGAAAAAGGTTTTCATCATCCTTTTCTCCTTAAGGAACGCCCAAGTTCAATCATTATGAATATTAAGGTTGGTGGTTGCAACGCTTTTAATGATTTTAGTTTTCATTGTCAAATTAAATTTTTATTTCAGGATTCGAAACAGCTGCCTAATAAAACTCTTTTAGAAAAGACAACAGATGCACATAGTCAATTACGCATACAATATCCAGTTTCTAGTGGACAACAGCACAGGAAAAACGGTAAACCACAACCTCTCATCTCCTATTTTCTAACGTCTTTGATGACACTTATAGTTTTTATCATATAACGAAAATTTTGTGTTTCAGAAAACGAATGGGTTCCAGTTCCTCCAAAACCACTAAAGTCTAAGAACTCAAAAGCTGAACCGAAAAAATTATTTGTTCCGGCTAAAGAAATTTTACAAAATGTTCCTCTTCCTCTGGTGGTTCCATCTTTACAAGCACAGCAAGCCCTTCAAGCACTACCACCTGTCCCATCAATGTTACCTGTGCAGCAATCAATGTTACCTGTACAACCAATGTTACCTGTACAACCGGTGTTACCTGTGCTACCACCTATTATGCCACCTGATGAAGAAGCGGATGCCTATCAACCACCTCCACCTGGTGATACAGATTACGTAGAACAGCCAATTACTCCAATACCTTCAGTTCCACTAGAAAACAATCAACAGTCTATCTTTCCTATTCCTGAACCCAATGTAAGTAGCACATTTTGTGTTTATATTAATTAAACATACAGTTTTTACAATATTATTCCAACTTTTTAGCATATTGATATTAGTGCAATAGTATCACAACGATTAGCTGCCATGAGAAAACTATCAGAAAATCCTCACGACGTTCAAGCCTTGAACGAAATGTACAAGGCACAATCAGGGGTAAATTTTAATCATCTGCTTTTTGTTATTCGCTTCATAAATCGAATTAAAAAGTAATTTTAAAAAATTATTTCAGATGAAGTCATGGGTTGAAAGTAAACAAGTCCCAGGTCAGTTTCTTGGTTCTACTGGAGCTAAAATAATGTCACAAGCCGAATTAAACTCGGGTCACCAAGCTTGGGCGAAAAAGGTAGCGCAATTTTACTCATTTTCTTTAGTGACCTCCTTGACCTCACCCCTGTTGAGAGTTTTTATACTTTTAACTTGACGTTAAAAAACTAAGAAAACCTTTACCATCGCGTTAATCATAGTGCCAAAAAAAAAAAAATTTATGAAAAACCATTTTATCTGTAACAAGTTTTCAGGTACAGTCTTGTTGAATATCAAAACACAGACGAGCTGTGCCTTTGGTATTCCAAAGACTGTGTTGTAGGCACAGACTATTTCTTGACAAGGGGTAGACTCTGAGTCTGCACGGACATGAAAGGATAATTGTTGTTGATGTCATCAACATTTATTCTTTCATGAGATCGCTGCTAAACTTCATACCAGTTTTTTTGACCTTAAAAAATTGAAAACGCAGTACACTGCCTGGTATGAATTTTTAGCAGCAATCTGTTTCCACCTGAGCATTTGTTACAGGCTTGCATACATATCTGTATTGGAAAGGAATTCTCGCCGGCAGCCTGAAGTAACTGATTTCATTTAGAGTCTTGGTAAGTATCACGAATGATGAAATAAAAAAAAATAATAACACAAAAAAACGCAAACCTATCATTACAGGATTTGTTTTAAACACTAGGAAATTCATTATTACACAAAATAATTCATAAAGTTCGTAATCAGTGTTGGGTATTCTCTAGAAAAAGCCATTTTAATAATTTATTACCATCCTTGCATCAGAAAATAACTTTCTATTCAAATATCACCGTATGAATACTACATGTAAAATTTGTAATTGTTATTAATTAATTTTTGTATTTTTTTTATTTTTTTATTTTTTTTTTTTTTTTTTCACTACAAAACCATACAAACTGTAGGATCAACTACTGACAGCACAGCCAGTTTCAGGGGGCATGGGGATGGCATTGCTGCAGAAAATGGGTTGGAAACCTGGGGAGGGTTTAGGGAAAAACAAAGAGGGCACTTTGGAGCCCTTGCAGTTGGAGATTAAACTTGACAAAAAGGGTTTAGTTTCTGACCAGGATGTTAATGCTCACAAATTTGGAAAAGTACCCAAGTCCCATGTACCTAACATCAAATCACTAGAAGGTAAGCTGGAATTAAAATTTTAAGTACTTAATAGAATCTCAAAAAACATATAAATAAATTAAAAATTGAATATTGAAATACAGGCAAACATCCAGTCTCTTTATTGGGAGAATACTGTTCTAAACGTAAATTTGGAGCACCAACATACGAATTATGTTTTGAGTGCGGACCAGACCACAAAAAGAATTTCCTGTTTAAGGTATACAATATATTTTTTTCAACTTATGTAAAGCTGCTTCAAACATAAAGATTATTGTTCCAACTGTTCAGGTTCGAGTTAACGGAGTTGAATACAAACCAAGTGTGGCAAGTCCAAACAAAAAGTTAGCCAAAGCAGATGCTGCGCAAGTATGTCTGCAAAGCATTGGCATATTGCCACCATAAACAGTTGAAAAAAAAACTAGAAATTTTTACGTATAATGGTTGTGAGATAACTTATTTTAACGCTTTTTAAAATATTGACAAGTCTCAAAATTTGTAAATAATGTAAATAGTCATGGTGCAATTCAATAAAAATTGCATAATATTACCAGTCGTCGCTATTAATCGTGTAGTTATTCATTAATATAAAAATGTTAAACAACTATTTGAAACTGTTCAACATTTTTTAAAAAACCCACACCATCAGTACATCAGTAGTAAGTAGTTCTGTCTTTTCTCTACTTTACATATCCTAACTTGAACTAACCTTATCTGAAGTGCGTGTAAAAATAAGTGTGTAAAAACGGCTGCTTGACTTCAAAAATATGTACCTGCACGAAATACATTCAACGTGTTATAACGTGTTGACTTCTTGTGTTAAATCTAAATCTTGACAGAAAATTGCAACACTTGGTGAAAGCCTCATCATCAACGATTCGTTAACATGGAATAAAACTCGGAAGCATCGGAATACGGCAGAATCGCTTCCAGGGTCGACACAGCCAAGCGCGATGAGGATTTACACGACAGTGTTTTAAACCACGTGCAGGCCCACCTGGACTCCGAGGAAGTTAACTCTGAGCTTGGAAAAATGATGGAGGCCGAAGTGCTCAAGGTTAATGTGCTACCAATAACTGCGAGTGATGATATCATTGATATTGACTGGGACTCTACGATTTTGGAGAAAAAACGTCGAAATCCTGTCAAACGGTATCGCACCAGTGTGCAAGACGAAATGAACGAGTCTATCGACTGGCTTAGGACGAAATTGTTTGCAGATGACGATGATTCGATTGTACCTGTCAAACGTAGAAATGTTAGTTTAAAGGAACACATTGAGGTAGATACTGGTCAATATCCCTTTTATGGCTTGCCTAACGAAGTCAAAGAACTTATGAAAAAACACAATGGTATCGAAAAACTTTACGGTGAGTTTAACTTTTCTTTTTCTTTTTTTTTCAAACTTTTTTGAACTTTTTTTTATTTCTTTTCAGAGTGGCAGGAAGAGTGTCTCGATCTTAAGGCTGTACACGAGAGGCGAAATCTGATATACGCTCTGCCCACCAGTGGAGGAAAAACCTTGGTTGCCGAAATTCTAATGCTCAAAGAAGTTCTTTGTCGTAAAAAAAACGCCATGTTTGTACTACCATTTGTTGCTCTGGTTCAGGAAAAAGTATGTTTACTCATGCATATTGCTAGTTTATGTTAGTTTATGTTATGATAACACTCCTTACTTTTAGATACAATCATTAACACCTTTTGCCTTGGGACTAAATTTTCTAATAGAGGAATATGCAGCAGAAAAAGGCCACTATCCACCTAGAAAACGACGAAGCAAAACAACTATTTACGTTTGCACGATTGAAAAGGCACAATCCCTTATAAATTGTTTAATTGAATTAGACCGTCTTAATGAGGTACGTTTTATATTGCACTAGTTTATAAGAAATACATTCTTTATTGAAAACTTTTTTTTTTTTTTTTCAAGTTGGGGATTGTAGTAATAGATGAATTACACTTATTGGGTGAATCTGGAGGAAGAGGTGCTACTCTAGAATGCTTATTAACCAAAGTAATGCACAGTGATAGTATGTATACTGTAACTTATTTTATGTCATAACAACTGAACAAAGTAAACAATAATCGAAAATGTTTTTACTTCCAGGTAGCATTCCAATAATTGGAATGAGTGCGACGATAGGTAATTTAAAAGAAGTAGCTGCTTTTTTAAACGCAGAAGTATATGTGCGAAATTTCAGACCAGTTAGCTTCAAAGAATATGTTAAATGTGAAAACGAAATATGGCTTATCGATTATAATGAAGAAGAAATGTTTACAGACAAAAAGATAATTAATTATAAAGTAGGTCTTTCGTTTAAAATCTCAAAACTTTCACTAATCTGGTATTTAATATTTGTGTTCTCTTTTAGTACAGCAGTAAGGCTCTTCAAATAGATCCGGACTGTTTAGGTGGCTTTGTGATGGACGTGGTCCCAAAAGATTCGTGTCTCATATTTTGTCCAAGTAAAAGAAATTGTGAAAATGTGTCGCTTCTTTTGACGCAAGTTCTTTTTACGTCTCTACAATCTCACAGAGTAGACGAAAAAAATATTCTACTTAAAACTCTGGAAACCGAAGGTGGAAGACTTTGCCCGGTTCTTAAAAGAACAATTAAATTTGGAGTAGCTTACCACCATTCAGGACTAACGGCTGAAGAGAGAAAGTTAATAGAAGAAGCTTTCAAGTCTGGTATATTATGTGTATTATGCTGTACGTCTACTTTGGCTGCAGGAGTCAATCTTCCAGCAAGAAGGGTGTGTTTATTACGTCAATTAAATTTTTATAAACAGTTTACGAATTCTTGAATAATCGAACTCGTTATTCTATTTTAGGTAATTTTGCGATCTCCATATGTTGGTGCAGATTTTTTAAACTTAAGTCGATACAAACAAATGATCGGTAGAGCTGGAAGAGCTGGTTTTGGGGAAATTGGAGAAAGTATATTGATTTGTAATAAATCTGATACTGATAAAGTACGAAAACTTTTGAGTTCCAAGATGAATGATACTACAAGCTCTCTTCACACGGAAGTCGATCGAGGAATCAATAATTTGATAATAAGCTCGGTTCTCTTGTCAACGGTCACCACAAGACTTAGTATACATGAACTCATATCGAAAACACTTTTACAAATTCAAGAAGATAAACTTGGAATTAATGTTAAACAAATTGTAGACAAAGCACTAACACAACTTTTGAACAGTGGTATTCTTAGGGTTAAACAAACTAATACAGCAAACTCTCCCTCAGATCTTAATACGTCTGTAATTTTTCCGTCACAAATTGTCAGTAGCAGTGACGAGAATGACACAAGTCTGGTGATGACAAAAAATTCACCAGCAAATGAAAAGAAGAAAAACAAAATATATACTACTTTAGTCAATAGTACAGAAATTGAACTTTGTCCCCTTGGAAGAGCTGCCATGAAAGGTAAAAATGAAAGTAAATTTTATCAGTTACAAATTACAATACGAGAAAATTAAATTACTAGAAAACTATCATTATAGGATCGATCGACCTGTACACGGCACATGTCTTATATCAAGATTTGCAAGAAGCTCAAAAAAACTTAGTTCTAGTAGACTATCTTCATCTTTTGTACCTTCTAACTCCTTATAATATTGCAAATCAGGTGAAACCAGTTGGAACTGTATATTATGATGTCGTAAGTACTTATGAAAGAGCATTTTAACATGACTTTAATTGATTCTAATCTTAAATTATTACATAGATAACAAAACTAAATCCTTATCAAATGCAAGTGGCAAGACTTTTAGGAATCACTGAAGCCATTGTTGACAAATTGAGAGCAGGGTTTTTATCCAAAGTAAAACTAATTTCATTTAAAAAAATTCAATCTACATTTTAATTTTCTTTTACTCAAACTCCGTATTTCGTTTTCAGCAAGTAAATGAAAAAGTTGTGCAAAGATTCTACGTAACACTGATGTTGTACGATTTATGGAATCAAGAATCTGTGTTTAGTGTCGCTGATAAGTTCCAAGTTAATAGAGGGACTATTCAAAATTTATTGAGTTCAGCTGCATCGTTTTCTTATTCAATTGTTAGATTTTGTCAAGAATTAGATGAGTTTTGGGCTTTTACTGATTTATTTACAAGTTTTGGGCATAAGTTGCAGTACTGCTGTGCTTCAGAGTTAGAACCGTTAATGGAGCTACCATACGTTAAACAGGTACCTTTTTTAAAACAAACTTGCTGCACAACATTTGTTAAAATATTTACATAAAATTTTTTAAATCGTGAAGGGTCGAGCAAAACAACTTTACAAAGCTGGATACAAAACATTGCAGTCAATAGCAAAATCAAAACCCGATGAATTGTTGAATAAAATGGAGCATTTACCACGAAAAGTGGCATCACAAATTATTTCTGCAGCCAAGGTATGAATCAATTTTTTAATCATGTTAACTGTATCGTAATATTTTGATTTAAAGTATCCAACATTTTTAATTTGTTCATTGAAAAAACCATGGTAACACAAAATTTAATTTTCAGCTATTACTATTAGAAAAAGTAGAAAATTTAAAAGATGAAGTTGCAGCAGTCCTAGATGGCGTGGATTTGTAAAGCATATCCGATACAATAACTGGTGAAGACATCAGTAGTGCACTGTGATAATATTCTGCTTATAAATTTATATTTACTTTGTAGGAGAAATGTTTAATTTATTTAATTTATTAAACTAAAAATTTTTTTTTTAGTTATGTTGGTATTTTCTTTTATACAAACCAAGAGTACAATTTTATACATTTTCTTGAATACTAATACTGTGAACAAGCTATTACCAATAAATTAAGTTGATTTGTATTGAGTGTTTTACTTGTATGTACTGTACTCCTGATAATGTGTTATATATACATTGTTTTAAAAATGTGCATTTCAGAACAACACATTTTTAAATATAGGTGTGTTTGTTCAAGCGTGCACAAAGATAAAACTCATACCGCAACTTTAAGCTTTCGATAGGTTAGACTGATTGAAGTTTGCATTTGTATGATACACTTTTTTTATTTTATTAAAATCTTGTATTAAAATATTATAAAAAATTCACGTAATATTTATAAAAAGTATTACCATACATTAATAATAAAAATGTTGAGAAATGTACTCTTCATCTTTTTTTGTACAAACAAGATTTTAAAGTCAAAGCTGGAAGTTTGTTTGCATCCTTTTTCAAAACATCCTTTGTCTTCTTAAAATCCATAAAGTAAAACAAATTGTTTGATAAATCTGTCCAGGTATTATCAAATCCATACTTGGTCATAGTTTTTATAAAATCATCCACTTTTTCAAATCTACTTTCAACTTCTGCTATTTTCAGGATACCACTGGAACAAAAGAATCAACAATTTTAAATGGTGTCATTGACATATACAGACTTTTTTTTTTATATAGAAAATAACTTACTTTTTTTCAAGAACTCTATTGGCTTCTAATATGTAATCTCCAAGATTAGAACCCATTAGAGATAGACAAAATACGACAACGTTGGTACGACCAATAAGTAGAGGAGTATGAGCCATGTCACATGCTTTAACTTTGTCATTAACAGCTACTAAATCAAAAGAGTGAACTGTCTGTGGAACGGAGTCAGCCAGTTTAGCATCACCACAACCAAAATCTGCTATCACGTATTCCTTTGGCCTATAAAAATAAATGACATTTTAAATCAGAAAATATAAATGTACAAGTTTTTTGTAACTGTTTTTTTACTAACATTTTTGTGATGGAATCAATAATCACATCCAATGGATTTACTGGCCATTTATCCACCTGACTTTTGTAACCTTCGTGATAAGTATAAAAAGCTTGAGGATCATCTTGAAAGAACTTTTTACTCTGTGAACTATCGCTATTGTACATTTGCTCGTTTAAGAATCTAAATCTAGAAGCTTTTAACTGAGCCATCATTCTATCTCTTAATGACAAAGGAGAAGCAGATCTCGCTTGATCAGATTTTTTGTTGACTTGAGTTTCATTTTCCTTTTCTTTCAACATTTTTTTAAGTATATCTATGTTTAATCCCTTTCGTAGATCCTTTGAAACATCTTGATTTTTTCCTTGTTTTACGTTTTTCACTTTAGGCTTGGTGTTTGCATTATTGACAGCCAATACCTTTTTGTTTCTTCTCTGTTTTTTCTTTTCTTGCTTCTGTCCATCACCGGTCTTTTGTACAGAATTTTGCCTTTTATTCTTGTCACTACTCAAACTTCCGGCAACCAATTTTTCCAAGATCTTTTTTTTCTTGTTTGCTCTTCGGTTTCTTTTCTTGCCAGAACCTCCGTTTTGGTTAGAACTTGGTTTATTTGCAACATCCCGGTTATTGCTTTTTTTCCCAACAATTTGCTTGTCCAATGTAACAATTTCACTCATTCTGTTCATTTTGTTTTTCAATTGGCTCATCACATTGTCAACGAGTTGATTTTTACTTTTGTTTTCGCTATTTTGTTTAACGTTTACCTTCTCCTGTTTTTTGATACTTTTCAACCGATTGACTTTCGGTTTTTTGGAACCTTCTACCTTGATGTTTACCCTCTTGTTTTTAGCCATTTTTACAATATGTTATAAGATCCACCAAAACATATAAACTAGTGCCGATTTTATCAGATTTTTCACAACGTATAAACATGCGGCTGTCGAAAGAAATCAGTAGCAGACGGCGGCGCGGTGCTATCTTTAATTGTTATTCGTCCGATCTAACCTTTCTGACGCACAAAAAAATAAGTGTGACATCCTAGCTTTACCCGACTGACGTGCGCGGGAAATCCATCATTGAGTGATTGAGTCAATCGTCACACCACGAGGTCGAAAACTCGGTACCTAAGTACTGTTTGAGTTTTTTTTTGTTTTCTGATCTACAAGAGTCGAGAGTGCATCGTTATTAATTGTTACAAGGAAAGAACAAAATATTGTTATTTAAAAAACCTGTCAAGGCTTAAAATCATCCGAAAATGGCTGCTGTCGTGCCGACCAAACAATTTGACATGGGTAATCTCATAGTTTTAGCCAAATACGGTTTTTTTTTTTTTTTTAACGAATTTTGTTGACAATTCTCGATTTTCGTTTTGCAGATGCTGGAGCTCAGCAGAGCTTCGTTAGATGCTACAAAAGTTTACCAGAGGTATTTATTGTTTCATTAGTTCTGTTGTCACGTGCCTTTTATTGCGAAATACTTCTTACTAGTTAATCATTACAATCTTACATTTTTTGTACATGACAACAATAATTCATTGATCGCTGTACATTAAATGAGCTTTGTGTTGAGTTGTCATCAAGATAAATTGAGGTATCCCAACAAAAAACTTACAACTACAGTTGAATCAGGCCATTGCATGCTTTCAACATTCTGATAAAGATGTATCAATGTATGTTATGCATGTTTCGAAACCAAATGAAATTAATTATGCATCTCGAACTGACGCGTAAGATTAAAAGTGATGAGCAAATCTTGTCTGTTTGCTTGTATTGTAGCTTCTTATCTCAGCCAAAGATAGTCCTTGCCCTCTCTTTGGCCTTGTTGTACGAGTATGATAACTTATGACCCACTCTTTTCCAAAACGTACGTTGAGTGGACGTTGGCTCTGTCTCGATCCATGGCTTTATTGGTGGTAGATTATCTACCATTATTAAACTACTGTTTGAATTTTGGCCACTATTTTCTAGTGACAATGAGTCATGCCATTGACTGGATGGCAAAAACGTGGGTTCCTGTATTTCTTGCCTATAATTGCTTTGTCTACCAGATAAAAATTGCGCACTTTCTTCATATGGTATTGGCTGCACGTTTTGTCCTGTCTTTTCTACTTTAAATTCACGTTGATACCCATGAAACTTGTTAAATGACTCTTGAAGGTGGCTTAATTCAGTAGATTTGTTTTGAGCACTGAATTCAGCTGCAGGTCTCATTGGGTTACTCAATTCAAGCGTTCTCATTGGATTCCAGATTTGTTGAACTTGTTGTTGGTCATCAAACTTGTATTTATTGTTAAACTGATTGTAGTAATAGTTGTGATGGTATTTTTGATGATTGAAAAACGCTTGACTAGACTGTCCGAGTCCATCGAGGTCACTTGTCTTCTGTTGCCATTGGTTGTTTGAATTTTGCACATCAGATAAACGATCATTACCATTCAGATTGACTATAGATTTCTCATGGCTCAATTTGAAGTTGTAACTAACAACAGGCATCTGATGATTACAGTCATCCTTATTAATCTTTGCTTTCTCATTTACTATTGGAATTATTGGCTCTGGGACAATAGTTGACAGAGGCTTTGGAGTAACGAATACCGGGTTTTCAGTGGTAAGAGGTTTTTCCATGACAACTGGTGGACTCTTTTCTACAACCAGTGAAATAGATGGTTCGGAATGCCCTGGCAAATCCCCTCTGTGAGGTCCAGAAGGCTTCTCTTGGCTACCATTTCCATTGCCTTGATCAGCTTTTCCCTTTAATGTCGGACGAGCATCAATCGCCTCTTCGCGTCGTGCATTTTCCGTTTTGGTATTGGCACTGTCAGCGCTCGGAACGTCATAAAAGATTTCCAAAACGTCATGAGACGGCTGCTCGAGTGATTGCGGAGGACCCGTCTCGACTGCCCGATCGCCTCCCTCCTTGCGCTTGTCTGACGTACTCAGCAACAGAGCCTCATGGGTAGCGTTAGTTTCCTGTGGCCCAAAAGTGTTCTGCAAAGAGAAACGCCTCCCCAGCTGACTGTCCGATCCAAAGTTCACCCGACCGGCTGTTTGCTGAACCGAATCCCGGTCCAGAGTTTCAGTTTTGGAACCACCCTGCTGTCCTGCAGTCCAAAGACTACCGTCACCCGAGTTCCCTCCCAGGGATTGAACGTTTCTATTGTACGACTCCGATCTCACGTAGCTGGGGCTGTCATAGAATCCACCGCTACCCAGAGCGTGCTCCTCGTTCTTTGGTTTCTCCGACGTTACAGGCGATTCGCTTCCGTTCCGATCGTGAGATGCGCCCGTTTGCTCCTCAAATTCCTCGTCGGACTCGTCCTCCTCGTGCTCTAAAGACTCCTCGTCTCTCTTGTCGTTCCCACGTGACTGGTCGCCGTTGAAGCCACTGTAGAACGATGGTCTGGACTGTCGCTGCCTCTCGTGGTCCATCGTTGACTCTTGAGACTGTGGCCTCCTATACTCGTTAGTATCAACGTGTCGCTGCGCGAGGTCGTCCTGCTGCCGATCTCTGTGGACGGGACGTTGGGGACGATCGGATTGGCCGTAGCTTGCGATGCGCGCAGCGAGATTTTCTATCTGCCTCTCCGTTTCCGAGTTGCGGGACTTTGGGCCAAAGGATAAGACCCCGAGTTTCGGGCCTACGGACAGTTTGGGCTCTTCCTCTGGTGCAGGAAAGGGCTTTTGGTTGTCGTTCCTGCTACGCTGGTAATTGGCGTCGAAGATCGGTTGTTGTTGCTGTTGCTGCTGCTGAGTCCAGTCAAAGTCCGGGTCGTACAAGTCTTTGGCTGAAACGGAGGGAAAGGTTCAGGTTTCGATATTTGGTTGTTTTGGGTGGGTGAAGAAATTAGAAAAAAAAACTGCAATAATCAGCTTTGAGAAAACTCGAGGTACTTTGTATGCGTATCAATACTATGTTAGTCGCAACAGGAATCAACACACTTTAAAAAGTCATTAAAAAAAAACTTGCCTTCATTGTCAACGAGTCATTTACGTATGATCTACGCAATGATCACTTGAGTATTTTATTTATTATCTTGAAAAGCTTGTGTTAAATTTTACGTTCGATTGAATATGAATTTTGATTAAGTAGGTGGTTACATTGCGTCAGAAAATTGAAATCTTCACTCGTTGTGTGTTTAGCGTAACATGTATTTATTTATCTTATACAAAATATTATACAAGTACGAGTCGTGTTCTAGATTTACATGATTTTTCGGTGACACCAAAGATATGGTTTCAATAAAGAACACACTAAGCTCCTTGACACTTATCGATTAATGTTTGTAACTGAAGAAAAAAGAAATTGTACAAAGAAATACTTTTTATTTATTGTTATTATTGTATCATCGAGTTTCGAAGCCAGACAGATCGGCTACATAGTTTGGCAGCAATGTATTTACTTATGCATGTAACCACACGTATTTCTTTCATTCTACATGGTCTGCCTCATGATTGTCGCACCGCTAGCTGATTTAACCCCATGTGTGGGGAAACTAGAAAAAAAAAGGAAAAAAAAAAAGAGAGTTACGTGATGCATGATGATTATGATGTAGAGGAAAAAAAAAAGATCCAGTTGCGTATGCAAACGGGATAACGATCAACCAGCGTTGTACCAACCTTCGGCTTGTCTCCGGTATCTTCGCTGCTGCTGCTGCGGCCTCGTCTCGACGCACGGCTGCCCGGCGTAGTGCTCGACGCAATCTGCCCTCCGTTGTCCCGAGGACTGCGCGTACCTCTGCGACGACGCGGAAGAAAGAGGTCGCCTGCTGACCTCGACCTCGGCTGACTTTGAGTGCTCGTACTCGACGTTGGTGATGGTCGGCGCCTGGACGGCCGAGTATGCCCCGTTGCTGCCGTAAGACGAGCTGGAGGTGTAGCCGGCCGAGGCGGAGAAGCCCGACGCGGCCGAGGATGGGTTGGCCAGGTAGTTGGCCGCCTGTCGCTCGAGCGACCGCACCATGTCCTCGAAGCGCTGGGACAACTCCTCGGCGCTTGACTGGATGTTCTGGTTCTGGTACCTGCTGCTCGTCTCGCAGAGATTGCTTATGCTCTGGCGCAACGACTCGGCCTGGCGTTCGGCCTCGCCAATCACGCTCTGGCTGTTGGCCGCCGTCAGCCGCATGGAGTGCGTGTTGAAGTTGTTGATCTCGTTCTGGATCCTGTGGAGCTCCTGCTGGAGCCGACTCGTCGCCGCGGTAAGGTCGACGTGGGCGTTCAGCTGGTGGTGCTGCTGCTGGTGTATCGGTTTGCTCTGGCCACCGCCGATGCTGCTCTGGAAGGAGCCACTGGAGTGCCTGCCGCCCGTGTTGCTCCAAGTGTTGATTGTGTGCTCGTAGCTGGAGCTACCGGTGACCTCGACCTTGCCGGCAACGCCAGCCCCGATTCCCTGCACGCTGTCGGACTGAGGCACCGTTTTCTGCACCTCCTCGACCTCGAGCCGCGCTCTACGCTCTTCCTCCTGCTGTTGCTGCTGCTGCTGGCGTAGCCTGGCCGCCGCTGCCTCGGCTTCCTTGCGCGCGGCCTCCTCCTCCTGGGCCCGGAAGAGCTCCTCCTCGCGACGCGCCCGCTCCGCCTCGGCTTCCTTCTCGATACGCTGCTTCTCGAGCTTGAGGTTCCTCAAGTTCTCCTCGTAGTGGTTCTTCTCCTCTTGTATGCGGATCTCCAGCTGGCGGGCCGCCTCCTCGCGCTGCCTGTCCTCGAGCTTGTGGATGCGATCGCGAATTTCCGACAAGTAGTTCTCGAAGTGGCTCCTCAGGTTGTCGACACGGGCGCGCTGGTGCTCGCTCTGGAGGGCCTGGAGCTTCAGGTTCGCGAGTTCCCGGCTTATCACGTCGGCCTGGTTGCCAAGGTCGACCTTGTACTGGGCGTTAGTGTCGACGCGCCCAAAGTTCGTGTAAAAGCTCGACACCTGGCTCTGGATCTTGGCGATCTCATCCTCGACCAGGCGCTGCTTCACGATGCTCTCCTCGCTTATGACCGGCTGCTGCTGTTGTATGGGTTGGGAGTAGCTACTACCAGCGACGGGCCTGCTGGTGCTACTGCCGGCGCTCGGGTACGATTTAAAGCTGCCGTACACCTGGCTACTGCTCGACGAATGGTACTCGAGCTGTCGCTCCATCTGTTTCTGCATCCTGTCGATGTCCTGATCAAATTGCTGTTGCATCTCGCGTATCTGCTGGTACATGGAGCTACCCGCGTCTACCTGGTTGCAAACGTCGTTCAGCTGGTTGCTGATGGCACCTGCCCTGTCCCGGAAATCGGCAATCTGATTGGCGTTGACCACCGAGCCCGCGTCCACGTGGAAGCTACCCATGAAGCTGGCTATGCGGTTGCGCATGCTCGCGAGTTCCCGGTTGAACTCGGCGGTGGTCAGGACCTGCGAGTTGGCCAGCCGGGCGTGCGAGTCGTGGGTGCCGTAGCTGTAGCTGTGCTCCGCGAACTTGGAGTACCCGTTCCCTGTGACCGTCTGTCCGGCCCGGTAGCTCATCTGGCCTTTGCCGTCGTCCGTCACGTAGTGCTTCTCGTCCTGCCAGCTGCCCGGCCGGTCCAAGTTCAGCCCGAGCCCGCTGCTGCCCACAACCGCGTTCTCGTCGAGGTTTTCCAATCTACCGCTGGTCTGCAGCTGATTGTTGCCGCTCCTGCCACCCACGCGCTGCAACCGGTGTTCGTAGCTGCTGCTCTTGGAGGCGTAGGAATTGCCGTACGAGTCACGGGCCTGGCCGCCATAGCTGGTGCCCTGCTCGCCGCAGTAATCCGTGCAGTCGGTCGGCGCGCCGAGAACCTGCCCCAGGAGCGCGCACGCCAAAAGCGCCCGTCCCAGCATCCTCGGTTGTTTCCTCTCGCTGATGCTCTGCTGGCTTTTATTTGCTCTTTTCCTCTCCACTACCGGTCTCTGGGGGGGAAGAAAGCGATACGGATTTTACTTTCTCGTCGAGCGACGTAGCTTGCAGCGCGCGTTTCGTTATCGTGGACCAAACGCGAGTTAAGTTTTATCTGCGACCCGACCGATTGATTAACCAACCCACATGTTACAGCGTTATCGCGTCTCTTGCCGAGTACATGCTCGCTCTTCCACGACCTTTTTACGATACTTGGAAGTTCCAACGTCTAAAGGTCTCGGTTCTAATGTAATTGGTTACAAATATTACAGCAAATGTGTATACCTATACATACGTGATACAAAAATTTGCGTTTGAGTGATTATCTTTCATAAAAATGCACATCCAAAGCTTGCGTCTCTAGCGAATCCGTACAAGTTGAAAGAGCTTTGCTCTGCCGATCCGTACGATATGGGAGACAAAAATAACGTTCACTGCAGAGTCACACTTTTATTTTTATACGTTAAGGAGAAAAAAATTTAAAACAAAATTACCAAACAACTGGACCACACGAGTAGCGTGTACTTATTGAAAGGCAAACGAGAGGAAAAACCACATGCAAAACTTAAAATGAATACTTGGGTACCTTGGAACAAGACCGTCGAGAGCGTACAGGTGTGTATGTCCTGGGAAGCGCGGAAAATTGCGCTCAACGGAGAGTAAAAAGCTTCACCTCCTTGGGTGTACAAAAACGGCCCACGCGCGGCTCGATAACTGATCTCGCTCAGACGGGTCTCGCGGACATACAAGTCTGCCGGTCATCAGCGCCGGATCATTTATGCTCTCCAGCCTCCTCACCCCCACCTTCTGTCTTTTTCTGGCTCTCCGCCCTCCTGACATTGAAGGTTTTCCCTCCTCGCAAGCTCTCTCTCTCTCTCGCGAGTCTCTTTTTACCCAAACGGAGTTCCCATCTCTCTCTCTCTCTCTCCTCCTCGACGAGTTTTCCACGAAAGCCATTTCCATCCTTCATCGGTTGGTCGCTTGGACTCCCCGATTTTTCGTGCAACAAAAACACTGCGCGCCCTGCACGTGCTCTCCCTCTCTGGTGTATATATATCATCCAAAGCTCTTTTCTTTTTTTTCTTTTTTTTTTTTCAGGCTCGTCGCGACACGGTACCTATACTTAAAATAAGTTCCGAATGGATCGGCAGTTTTGTTTCGAATTTATGGTCACAGCTGTCTTTTTTTCATCACCGTTGGGGTTTCAGTTTCGTTCTAGAGTACAAGAAAGAAAAAAAAAAAAAAAAACAATGATATTTATCGTGCGCTTTCGATTGCACAAACATCACCCCGAAGTATAATAGAATAGGGGGAAAAAAAAAACAATGATCCGCTGCACCATTGAAGAATAATTTAGATTTTAATCTCTTGGCTTCCAGATGGACCTCGAATCTCGGCTCCAGCAGCTAATTTCGGCCTCGCGTGCAGCTTAAGATGCTTAGAACCAACTGTGACGAAAATCGTGCCATATTTTTAGACCGTTATACTTATACGCTTCATGGATTTCAATTTATATACGCATTGTTGAAATAAACCAGCATACTTTTTTTTTTTTTTTTTTTTTTTTACAGTAAAAATTGCCATTATAATCACATATACGTGTGTGTGCTGGGTAAGTAAAAAGGGTGGGTTTCGATACGTGCAGTATATAAACAGAAAAGTTTGGTAAAACAATGAATTGTACCTGGCCTCGAAGGCCAGTACTTGGACTATTTTGTTTCGATCGAAACGTATGAATTGGAAATCCCGCGATTGTGATGTACGAAATTTAAATTCTAAACGAATCAATAATGCCCATCAGGTCTAAATATAAATTTGAAAAACAAGTGCCTTAATTGAACATGCGCGTGTGTCTGTGTGTGTTCGTGCATATTGTTCGCAGTCGTAAGTAAGTGAGTATTGGAAACGATCGGATCGATGAATCGTTAAATTTTTCATCCTCGTTGGAAATACGTGTTCGATTGTCCCAAACTTATGGCGATTTTTAAGTTAACCGAACGTTTCCGTTCAAAACAAGTAATAAAATTTTACACCCAATGGTATGTCGTGCCGTACACGTCGGGATGACCTTGAGACTTGACGTGGAGTATGAAAAATCATAAAATAAGTGTATTTATACCGTATAGTCAAAACACACACGACGAGAGGCAGCCTCGTCGATGACACACGCGCTTACCGATCGATCTATATAAGGATTAGCATGCATAATTCGATACGTGACTGTTTTTTTCTTCTATTTTTTCCTTTTTTTATAAATCGTATGACAAAGAGTTTCTCGGATGTGAGCGGTTCTCTCCTCCTTTTTAAGGACTCGTCTTTTTACCATACACGTACTCTGGATGCTCCGTCATCGAGTTTGCCGTTTGATGGATATCTACTTTTGTTGAACGCGAGATTATATTTATTCAAGATATCTATAGATGTAAATGATGTATGTAGAAAATCACTAGAAAGTTCAAAAGGGCATTGATTGGAAATGTGTACATTGTGGAATGATGCGTTAAAATAATGCTCGTCTGTCGAAAGAATACAGATGTCCCGGTCACCCTGTCCTCGATTTCTCGTCTCGGGCGATACCCTACTTTTAATAAAAATGATCTTGTTTGTCCAACGGTCGCAAAAAAATTAGTTCACGCCTTACGACATTTTCGTGTATTGATTCTTCAAACTTTTCGTATTTTTTACAATTGTACCTTATCGTTTCAGCAAAAAAAATGTACTGCATCGTATACTTGTACCAACAAAATCCGCGCGAAATTTCCCTCCAATCGTGTATGCGATTCAATAAACGTGATAAATCCCACGGCACTTCCAAGCTGATCGATTTTTCCTGAGTTTGCTCGTCACATAATACATTTCGCAACTCCTCTCTTGATAAGCAAATCACAGATTAAATGCCTTCTTTCCTTTGACTGCCGCCACGTACGTTTCACAGAACGCCTTGATCTTCCGATTTTTCTGTTTCTTTCCCATTTTCGTATCGTACGAACGCGCTCGCTTCCGTAAAATCGTGATTGCAAAGTCACTATTTAGTCATCGACAATGAGCTCGTGTAGTCGTAGATTCGACGTGTCCCAAAGCCACCCAGGGAAATCCATGTCTCGTACACGCGTGGTATATCTCATCGGCTTTTTGTTTTTGTTTTTCCCGAAATAGGTACTGTGGGGCTTTTTTTTTTTTTTTTTTTTTTTTTTCATCATTCAATCGTCGACATTCATGAGTACCACGGAGAACCTTGAAATCCGCCCGGCCCGTCTTGACGTGTATCAAACGGGGTTAAAACACATAGCATTGGCAGCGATACGATGGACATACACATGCGTAAAATATAATTTATCATACATATTATGGTACAAATGTGTGCGCGATTAAAAAGTGTTTACTCCCAATAATCGAGATTCCGTCGTGGTCGTCGCGCACTTTTTTTTTTTTTTTTTTTTTTTTTTACAGTAAAANTGAGCTCGTGTAGTCGTAGATTCGACGTGTCCCAAAGCCACCCAGGGAAATCCATGTCTCGTACACGCGTGGTATATCTCATCGGCTTTTTGTTTTTGTTTTTCCCGAAATAGGTACTGTGGGGCTTTTTTTTTTTTTTTTTTTTTTTTTTTTTTTTTTTTTTTTTTTTTTTTATTTTTTTTTTTTTTTTTTTTTTTTTTTTTTTTTTTTTTTTTTTTTTTGTAATCTTTGTCTCGAATCAAAATTTGAAGAACCAACAAAAAATACATCAGTAGCAGGTTCTATTGGCAACCAGGAAAGCAAATCAGCCAAATTTTTTCGTTTGCGAAGACGATAAGACCCAAAAAAAAAAAAAAAATTGCTGTGAGAAATAGAGAGTACGATGGCTCCGGCGCCAGCTATTATTGGGCGTTTATCGAATTACACGGCCAATATAAATGCCGCTGGCTCGATTAAAAGAGAGACCCTACACGCATGTTGTGTGTGTACGTGCATTTAACGAATACGAAACGCGACGCGCTATGTGACGCTTTGACCTCCCGATAAATATGCACTGCCCAATATATACGTATACGTATAATACGCGTCAAAGGCGAAATTGTGTTTTCCTGGAACGATATTTGTTCGATGGATAAACGATAATCCTTACGTAACGCTGTGTTTCAACGATTGTTTACTTGTTTTTTCTTCCCTTGATAACTCAGAAAAATTTGGTTTGAAATCCATCGTTGATTCTATCGGTTTTTCCCTTTTTGTTCTCAAGATTAGCCGTGCCTGTAGAGAAAATTCCTCCAGAAGAAGAGCATCCTTTCTTTATTTCCACTGACAATAATAACTGTTGCGTTAAAAGCGCGCAGATGCATACAACTCACCATTTCCCGCCCCGCGAGTTATTTACGTGTATGTCTGTGTAGGTAATGGAGGACCCAATTCCTCCACGTACTCATAATCTAAAGCGCGGGATGTGCGTATGTTTTTGTTCCAGAAACCGAGCAGCACCATAAGGTTCTTCAATCGAGCGGATTACTACACCCTGCATGGATCCGACGCCCTGTTCGCTGCCCAGGAGATCTTCAAGTCAACAGCTCCCTGCAAGAAGATCGGACCAGGTACCTTTTTTTTCTTTTCTTCTTTTCTTGAAAACTGTAAGTACCAACCGGACAAATCGTTTCATTGATTCCCCGTACGAATAGAGCACAGCAAGATCGACGGACTCCTGCTAAACAAGAACCACTTTGAGAGCTTCATAAAGGAATTGCTGCTGGTCAAGCAGTACCGCGTCGAAGTCTACGTGAATCAGGGCACGCAGAAGAACCAAGACTGGGTGCTCGAGTACAAGGGCTCGCCCGGCAATTTGATACAGTTCGAGGACATTCTCTTCGGCAACACCGACATCGCCGTGGTCGCTGCTGTCATTGCTGTCCGATTCGCCAATGATGGCTCCTCTAAGGTGAATTCGAGCGTCGTGTGCTCGTTTTTTTTTTTTTTTTTTTTTTTTTTTTTTTCCTTACAAGTGATTTTTCTTATCAGGTCGTCGGTGTCAGCTGCATCGATACGGTCAAGACCTTGATTTCGGTGTGTGAGTTCAAGGACGACGAGAATTTCGTGGATCTCGAGGCAGTGGTCGTGTCCCTGAAGCCGAAAGAATGTCTGTTACAGGGTGGCGAGACCAACCCGGATTTTCAAACGATCAAACAGGCAAGGCTTGATTTTTAGTTTATAATGTATATACATTCGTATGAAAACAAAAAAGCTGGGATTAAAAGACTGTGTATTTTCCACGTAGCTCATGGAGCGAAACAATGTCCTCGTTACGCCGAGAAAGAAGGCAGAATTCAGTACGGATTCCCTGATACAGGATCTCAATTTGCTCATCAGATTCGGCAAAGGACAGCAGCGCAACGCTCAAGCTCTGCCACTCACCAACTTGAAACTGGCAATGTCGGCGACGGCCAGTCTCATAACTTACTTGAACGTAAGTCCGTGGTTGTTGATTTGTTTTTCAATAATAGTAGACGAAAAAAAAAATAAATAAATAAAATTATACGTTCAGCTGACGGGTGAAGGCAACGAGAACCAGTACAGCTTGGACGAGATCGAGCGCAGCCGCTATGTGCGCCTCGATACCGCGGCTATCAAAGCGTTGAACGTGGAGCCGCGCACCGAGTCCTTGAGTGCCTACGGAGCTGGCTCGGCGCACTCTAGTGTGTTGGGGATCCTCGACAAGTGTCGCACACCCCAGGGTCGGCGCTTGCTCGCCCAGTGGATAAGACAGCCGCTGCGCGACCTTGCGCTCATCAACGAGCGCCATGACATTGTCGCTACTCTGTTTGACAACTCGGATCTGAGGACCGAGCTTGGCGAGGAACACCTAAGGCGCGTGCCCGATTTGCAACAGCTAGCTAAGAAGCTTGGAAGAAAGAAGGCTGGCCTGCAGGAGTGCTACAAGTACGTGGTACTTGGTTCTTTTTTTCACACTGTCTGTGAAGAATTTTGTGCTATATGCTCTTGTGGATTTTGTTTTAGGATTTATCTGTGCATGATGCACTTGCCACAAATGGTCCAGAAACTGTATGAAATTTCGAGCGTTGCGGCAGTTAAGGCTATGATTCTTGATCCGCTGAAAGAACATCTCACGGAGATGGATAAATTTCAACAGATGGTCGAGCAAACCATTGATTTGGAAGCTGCAGACAAGGGCGAGTTTATGGTGAAAGCTGAATTTGACGATGAATTAAAGGGTATACAAATAAAAGTACCATTATTGAACTGCAAGAGAATACTCATTAATCGTTCTGTTAACAAAATTTCTTGCAGAATTAAAGGAGGTGATGGATACAAAAGAACAAAAGATGTATTCTCAATTGAATAAAGCAGCCAACGATTTGGATATGGAAGCAGGAAAATCCATTAAATTGGAAGTTCATCCTCAGTATGGCTATCACTTTAGAATCACATTGAAAGAAGAAAAGAGCATCAGGAACAAAAATTACATTATTTTAGACTCAATTAAAGGAGGAGTAAGATTTAGGAGCCAAAAGTTGGAAGACCTAAACGACGAATACATGACAGCGAGGAACTCGTACATCGCTCATCAAAAAACTATTGTTGCTGAGATCGTTGAAACTGCAGGTGTGTGCCTCAATATTAAAAAAACATTTAATATCCTTGGCTTTTATTTATCTCTAAATAACTTGAATTTTCTTATTGCAGCTGGCTATATTCCTCCTATCAAGAGTCTTGGCAACGTTATAGCAACTCTCGACGTTTTGAATTCTTTCGCGCTAGCAGCAACATGTGCTAATTACCCCTACATACGACCCAAAATGTTACCTAGTGATGATCAAGAGCTTTGTCTCGTACAAGTCAGACATCCATGCTTGGAAAATCAGGAAGGAATAAATTACATTGCTAATGACGTGGTTTTCGATAAAGAAAGTCGTTTCCTCATCGTAACTGGACCCAACATGGGAGGTAAAAGTACTTACATCCGATCCATCGGAGTTTCAGCACTTATGGCGCACATAGGAAGCTTTGTACCATGTCAAGAAGCTACCATATCGTTGCTCGATTCTATTCTTGCAAGAATAGGAGCTGATGATTCACAGATCAAAGGGCTTTCTACTTTTATGGCTGAGATGGTTGAAACATCTGCTATCATACGGGTATGTAAAAATTGATTTTTTTCTGTAATAAATATCTCGTACTTGTATGTAAATTTTTTTTTTTTTTTTTAAGATGGCTACTGCCAATTCATTGGTAATTATTGACGAGCTGGGAAGAGGAACTTCAACTTACGACGGCTGTGGAATTGCATGGTCGATTGCCGAGTAAGTATAGTCACATTAGCTCATTGATAATATGATAATAGCCTAAGAATGTATTATCTGACGGTTATTTCACTTAGGCACTTGGCTAAAGAAATAAAATCGTACTGCCTCTTTGCTACGCACTTCCATGAAATCACACGACTCGCAGAAGATGTTCCTACTGCAAAGAATTACCACGTTACGGCTATCGTCTCTGACAAGCTTACGCTGCTGTACAAAGTCAAGCCTGGTATTTGCGATCAAAGTTTTGGAATCCATGTCGCTAAAATGGCCAACTTTCCAGAAGATGTTATCGAGGTATTAATTTGTATATTATTGAATACTTTTAAAAACTACTTGTTGCAAATATTCAATGATTCATTGCTAATTTTACAAAACCTCAGTTTGCAAGACAAAAACAAGCGGAACTCGAGGATCAGCAGGGCGCTGTTTTTGAGGGATCAGATGATCCTGAAAAGAAAAAGGAAATCATTAAGGTAACTTTTAAAGTTAAACTTGTGTTATATAAAAACTTGTTTGATACTTAACAGTACCGTATAAATTTTAGGAAGGTGAAAAGTTGATTCACGACTTTATGGACAAGTGCAAGAGTTTTAATATCGATACCTTGTCGGAGAAAGAAATTGAGAAAAAAGTTTCGAGCTTGAAAAAAGAAGTCTTAAACTCCAAAAATCCGTACATCAAAGCACTATTGGGAAAATCATAAATAATTTTGTCTAACCAAGCCAATCAATCATACCTTTCACAATTCAGTATTATTGAGTGTTTGGAACAATTGTATACCTGTCTTTTAGATTTTTATTTTTTTACAGCTTGAAATAAATTTTCTACTTTTCTACAAATTACAAAAAAAAAACTCTCGGAATATATCTTTTGAATCCACAAATCACACGCGCGCGATATGTTGTACGGTCGCAACAAAAATATAATCAATACAACTCCGATCGTACCGACGACTGGTCAGTTGATCGGGCATAGTAGTAACCTTGAACCTGACTATAGTGTAGTCACGGATTTTGGGGAGTGTCTGCCGAAAGAGAGGAGGCGATAGACATCTCTCTCGTCCTGTCGTCGGCTCTTCAGTTTTGACTTGGCAGCGGCTAGCTGTCAATTATACAAGCTAGCGCCGGCACACCTTAGTGGCAAATCTTTATCAGTGTCGGACTCGTCCTGGCATTCCCTGGGCTCATCAGTCACACGGTAAAAACAACCATGGATCCCGCAATCTTCCCCGAGGAGATCTGGATTCAGATCCTGCTCGAGTGCGAGGTGCCTGATATCATAGCCCTTGGCAGTACCTGCAAGTACCTCAGGAAGACTGTCGACATGGATTACTTATGGTTAGCCTTGCTCAATTTGTCAGGGATATCTTTTTATTTTGCTTTTTTTTTGAGAGGTTAACGCCTGTCACGGTCGTATAAGTCAAGATAAAAGTTTTTCAGAACTGTTTATTCATTGATTTTTGCTTCTATTCGCACTCATATTACTTGTATTTATCCGTACAAGGGTCTATTGCAACGTATTTAATTGATTACTGCGAAATGTTTTGACTGTTTCGCTTCAAGGATGCGTAGCTTGCAAAACAAAAGTTTTATTTGCTGTCTTTCTCATTAATAACTCATATTTCCATACTTCAAACTGTTTCTCATTGCTAACAATTTTTCTTTCAGGAAAATGAAGTGGTTGCAACTTATATCCAAAGTACAATTTAATTTCCCAGACATGTCGTGTCTGCAAAATCTCACCGTAAGCTTCAAAGCCATGTGCTATAGACTGCACATGATATTGACTCTCAATGATACCAATAAGAATACTTTTCCAAAATGTTACAAATGCAGTAGTTACACGTGTGAAAGAAATTGCGTTGAAGGTTCCAGTGTTAAGGTAGTTATAGAAATAGGAAACAAGTACACATGGGTTATCATTCCCGTGTTTGGCTTGAAAAGGCATTTTTCCATGCTTGGCTTTCCCAAGTACAACGGTGACCGTCACATCGAACAGACACCTCCGCCTCCTCCGACAACTCAAAATCCCCTGCAAAAATTTTCCGGCTGTAGCAACAGTAGAAGAAAATCAGAGAGCAAGTTTGTCACGAAAAAGACTATTGTCAAGCTATTGAAACTTGCAGAGCCAGAAGCTACCAAGGTTCCACCTAGAAGTGGACCATTTTGTGTATTTTGCAATTCGGTTCAATTGTACAGAGAAAAAAGGAGGTGCGAACAGCATCCCAATGATGCTTCATGTTATACTCGTTACAATCCAATTTATCAGAAATTAGTCAATGGCTACTGTACGGATACAGAAGATGTGTTAGGGATACCAAATATAGATTTGTATAATCCAGCGGAAGCTTTGCTCAGTGAAGGAACCTTCACTGTTGTCAAAGATTTCGTTGATCACATATTTAAGCAAATGGGTTTGACAGAAACTTTGAAGAAGCCCAATGCTGTACTCGTATTTTGCGAACCTCTAGCTATTCACCCATTACTTAGGAAACAGCTCTTACATTATCTGTTTCAAGAAGTAAAAATAGCAAGGTAAGATGAGTTTTAAATCAATCGTTAAATGTTGCAAACACCAATGCTAAATGTTCTTTCGTTTGTTTTGCAGAGTATGTTTAGTTCCAAAACCGCTAGCAGCATGTGCTATGCTAGGTGTAGAAAATTGCATTGTAGTAGATAGCGGATCTTTAAGTACGACTGTGGCAGTCGTAGTTGATGGTCAAGTGATGTCGAAACGTTGGAGATTAATACCAGTTGGAGGCTGGCATGTGGCATATTACTTGAAACAGGCGATATCTTGGCAGCCAAAAGAATGTCACGATATTCCAATTACTTATTTGGATTATCTGGCAGTGAAAGAACGTTGCAGGCTAAGCCTCGATATTAGAAAGGAAGAATTCAACAATAGTAGATTACACAAAGGTGGACAGAACAAAGCAGAAAAAGTAGATATAGATATCAGAGTTGATACTTACGTGAATTGTAAAAGAGATTGGGTTAGTATCAGACTTGGGAAATTCGTTTGGGAAATTTATGTTTTTTTTATTGAAAATATTTACCTTTGTAGAGAGTATCGTTAGGATCGGAACGATATACAGCTCCGGAGTTGATGTATGTCAGTTTGGATTTACCTAACGTTATAAAAGAAGTAACAAAAGGTCTTCCGGAGGCTATAAAAGAAGACTGCTTCTCAAACATTCTTCTCACTGGTGGTAACACAGACTTGAAGGGATTTGAATTGAGATTGAGTCAAGATTTGAAGAAGAGTCTTTCAAATTATGCACATATTTTGGATGTCAAAAGTTGTCCAGGCACTCATAGTTGGAATGTTGCAATGGGATCTACTTATGTGCCTTTAGCTGTGCATCCTGGTATGCATTTTTTTTTTTTTTTTTTTTTTTTTTTTTTCGCAACGCTCATTTGTTGTGTCAATTTTATATAACAAAATATGTTTCAAAATTATTACTTAGGTAAAACTACACCAGAATATACGAAAGGGACTCCGTTTTGGCTGTCAAGAGAAGAATATATTTTATTTGGATGTGAATCTTTAGTGAGCGAAGAGCAATGAAGAGCGCTGGTCGCATCCATTGTTGATAAAATAAAAAAATATAAGTTTATTGCTGCCCCTTAAGCAGTTGAAAAAAATCCAGTGAGGATTAAGAAATATCCTGGTAAACTATATCAAAAAATCAACGTTACCATCCTGCAATATATTTTATCCCGTGTTGTCTATGAATTCATGGGAGTAAGATAAGATTTAAAAATGTTTGATTGAGAACCATCTAATAGGTAAGTGTGATGTACCTTATTTCCAAAATTAGAAGAAAATATTCACTGTTACATGTTACGTATAATCGGCCTAAAAATGTTAATTACAATTTTAAAATGTCAACATGTTGTAATTTCGATGTATGTGGATCGGATATTGGTGTGGAGATATCAATATTAAAATCCTTATGTACAAGTGTATTATCAATGTGTTACTTAATGACGATGTTTTGAATGTACTTTGGATGTATCATTAACATAACTCATTTGACGATTTTATTTTGAAAGACATCAAATTTGCATTTTTTAAACATTCCTATTAGATTTGACTTCATATTTTAGGCCGATGATAAGTATCTATATACAAAGTATTACGAATTTTCATCTCGAAATTCAACATTATCTAATATCCAATCAAACACATAACTTTGTTTTTTATTAATATTTTTTATCACTTCACCTTCGGTCGACGAAATTAAGCAGTGATTTTTCAATTATCAAAGGGATATTACCTTTAAGCCGATACAACATTTTTAGTTTTATCTAAAAATTTTTTTTTTTTTTTTTTTTTTTTTTATACATGTATGTATCGACGTACATTGAAAATCAATAAATTTTGTGTACCTTGTAAATTAAGTTTGCAAACGAATTATATTTTGTATATTATGAAGAGTAGCTAGAAAATTCAAATAAAAGTTTATGAGATGGATAAGAAAAATATTCATGGTGCAATACAGAATAATTAATCGCTGTATTTGCAATTAAACAAGTTAATGATCTTTAAATACCGAGTCTAAAGTTGAATAAAAGGTCACGCCATGAAAAAGTTATTTTGTAAATAAGAAAAAGTGGAGAGAAAGTGAAGGTGTATTACAAATATGCTTAAAGAGTAGTTAATAAAAATGAAGAGAATGGAGTAAAAAAAAAAAAATGAACATGTGATAATGACTTAGTATTTCTTAAAGAAAAACATCATAGAAAAAATGTGTCAGATATTTCGTAAATTTATATTGGATGAAACCTTGCCAAAAAAATATACACGAGATAAAATAGCGTTGTGTAATGAAGAAAAAACAAAAATTAAAAAAAAAAAAAAAAAAAAATTCTAGTCATATTCGAAACTTAGAGTTGTAAGAGAGTTTACTTCCAAGTAATTAAACGTAAAACGAAAACCCTGTAGTTAGTCTATTAGGTATACAAATATTAGGTTTTAAAAATAGCTTTAGCAATAAAATAACACGATGTAAGCGAGCTATATTACCTTTATCCATCCCTGGTGAAAAAATTTATTGTAGAACTGTTGATTCGATCGTACACATGATGTATATCTGGAGTCCTTTGAAGAGGAAAGGAAAGCTATTAAAAATTATCATGTAAAACAGCTAATCTATTGTTCTGTACGTGCACGAGACCTTTTTACTATAATCACACCAAGAAAAAGCTCTTTATTATTAATTATTCCGAGCCACAAATTACATTTAGTGCATTTAGAAATAAGTTTAGGTGACAATTTATAAAACTGTTGCAGAAAGAAAATATTGGAGAAAAAAAAAAAAAAAAAAATTAATAGAATACAATTCGAGTGTAGTGCTGTTAAAGTTTTACTTTTCCTTGTTATAATAGTTTTATTTAGCGAGTTATAAGGACGATGCTCTATATGTACGAATAAGCTGTTTCGATTACTATACAGCGAAAAAAAAAAAAAATGTTTACGTTGTACGATGCATATGATCGAAAGAAGAAATATGTACGCTCTTTTTTTAGAAAAAAGAAACAAAAAAATTGTTTATGTATACGTTATTGAAGAAAAAATCCTTTTTAATAAATGTACATTATCCCTTATTACATCCATGTGAATTTTTTTCATTAAATCTATACACGTATAAGTTTAGTCATCTCGAGAGCCACACTCTACCTTTGTGGGTATATCTAGATACTAACCGCAATAACGAAATTTTTTTTTTTGGTCTTTGATTTTGTTTGTTACCTATATACTTTGCGGCGAATTAAAAAAATTCAACTTATTGACCTGTTGGAGAAGTGTAAATTTTAATGTAAATATTTCTCCATTTTGTCAATCAGCTATCGGCTGCGTTGTCTCTTACAAAATGTACCAGATTTCTTGAAATTTGATACCTACTTATATAAAATGCACATCATTAACGATATAAAAAAAAAAAAAATTAAAAATTAAAGACGCTTACGTTACGTACCTTTAGGTAAAATGATATATCTGTGATACTTGTCAAGCCAATTGTCGTTTAATGGTGTCCTTCGCAATGCTTGTCCTCCAAAAGAGCTAAAAGAACTGAGTAAGAACAGAAGTTGAACAGAAACTTAAATTTTTCTTTTTCTTTTTCACTATTACCTTGTGTCTAACCCGTTAAATGTCACGTAATAATAATTTATTTTGAAAGCACTTTGTAAATAGAGCAATCAAAAATAAATTCCACTTTTCTACCTATACCGTTTCTGTCGGTGTACTTATTTTAAAAATGATTTAGTTTTTGTCATCACATACTTTACACAATCAAAATACAAGCGCACATCATTCGTACATTCACTCATCAAACGCAATCAACTCAGCTTACAGTCAAACTAAAAATATTAAAAAACTAAACTTAGATGACTCGTGCTTAAAATATTTTCTAACAACACACCATGTGTGCTTGGATGTTTCAGGTTTTCTTCATTTTATTTATTAAAATATTTGATTTCACATATCAATATAATGCAGAATCTACTTTAAATCGTTTTATTTTGGTGTAAAAACTTTTTTTTACATACTTGGAAAACAAATTTTTAATGTTAATTTATAATTTATTAAGGCAAACAAGTATAAACAAACCCTG